TTTTATGTGGTGCTGAGGATCGAACCCAGTGCCTCACATGTGCAAGGCTGGTACTCTACCACTGAGCCCCAACCATTTTTAGGGCAGGGGGGTACTGGGATTGAATGCAGGGGTGCTTTACCACTGAGCTCCATCCCCAGCCCTTTTAATTTTTTGAGACAGGGTCTAAAGCTGGTGTGCTCTTCCTGTCTTAGCCTCCCAATTGGTGTGTTACACATAACATTGGAATGAATTGTGATGTTTCTAAAATTTTTTGGAAAAAAAAATTCAACTATGTTTGGATCTATGAAAAAAAATTTAAAACATGAAACAATGTAATAATTTTTCCATTTATCCTCAATAAGAGAATAATACTTTAAAAGTTCTAATGCTACAACTGTACTGCTGTTCAAGATATTGATGAAATGTGGGGAGTTAATTTTGGATTACTTCTTGTTGAGGTTTTAATATTTCTTTTTACATCCTAGGTTCCTCCAGAAGAAATGAATTATCTAACACGAATTCACTACAAGGCACAATCTGATGGTATCTGGGGTGAACATGAAATTGATTATATTTTGTTTATGAAGAAGAATGTAACTTTGAATCCAGATCCCAATGAAATTAAAAGCTACTTTTATGTGTCCAAGGAAGAACTAAAAGAACTTATGAAAAAAGCAACCACTGGTGAAATTAAGGTTACTCCATGGTTTCAAATTATTGTGGACACATTTCTCTTTAAATGGTGGGATAACCTGAATCATTTGAATCAGTTTGTTGACCATGAGAAAATTCATAGACTGTGAATGTGTAAATGAATGATTATTGAAAAATTTCCTTACCTAGTAAACTTAGGATGGTTTTATTATTTTAAAATTGGATTCCCCATTAGGACAACTTTTATGATATTTGGATACATTACATCCAGAGTTTGTGTGGGGGGAAAAAATTCAGTTGGCATATAATTTTGTTACACACCCGATCTACATGCACTGTTATTTGTAAAAAACATTTATGAGAGAATTGTAAAATGAGAGAGCAAATAAAACGTGAACTGTCCAAATACATGGTTATAACAAATTGAAGAAATAGTAAAGTTCTTCATTTTTTTTTATATTTTTAAAAATATTTTCAGAACACTCTGCTTGCTGTTGGCCTGGTGCTTTATATATAAATGAATTTGTATCACACTCCAGAAAAATGAGCAAAGAAAACTGTTTGCTTAGATCCTTTAAAATATTCCTTATTAACAGATTAAACTGTCAGAGCAGGTTTAAGGGAAACCTGTGCACAGCCACCTCTGGGTATCCACACAGGTTTTGTTTTGGGACTCCCTTCATACCAAAACCCTTAATTTGCCTATGATCTACACACATCTTCCTTTACACTTTAAAACATCTCTGGATTATTTACTAATGTAAATGCTACATAAATAGTTGTTCAATGACAAAGAAACGTTTAATACACATGTGATTTTTTTCCCAAATATTTTTAATCTACACTTGATTGAATCCTTGGATATGTAACACAGATGTGGAGGGCCAACTGTATATCCTAATTTCTGTCATTCTAAGTTGCTTTTGTGATTCAACCTTTCTGAAAGTATCATTTTGATACTTAACAGTCATCTGTTAACTTTGAGTAATGATTTTTTTTAATAAATTTTCTTTTAAAAAGTATTTACAACTTTGCAAAGTTTTTACAGTGCAAATTTCTTACTCTCTGTTGGGAATTGAGTCATACATTATAGGGTTAAGAAAACTATAGGCACTATGGACATTTGTTCTTGATAGTTCTTTGTTGTAGCATTAAGCAGCATCTCTGGGCTCTACACACTAAATGTCATACCAGAATTACACCAGATACTGCCAATATCCACTAGAGGGCAAAGTTGCACCTTGGTAAGAACCACGGTTCTATATCTTTAGTAGGGGAAGAATAGCGTGAAAAATCTGCATAGATTCAGATCATGCAATGGGTGTATGTTAAAAATGTACCTTGATTCAAGCACTTTTTAAAACTTGCCATAGATTTCTCAAATTTGAAGTCTTAAAAATAGTTTTATTATCTTTAAATGTTGTATAATAAAAAAAATATTTCTTAACAAAGCTAAATGTTTTATAATTCAATTTCTTGTTAATCCTGAACAATTAACCTATAACTTAAGACTATGTAACAAGTATTTTATTGAGCAGCAAACACAATAAAGTTACCACATTTTAATACGGTTGTC